GGCAGACCTATGGGGAGGGAGTTGCAATAGTCTAGGCGAGAGATAACAAGGGAGTGGTTTAATTTAATTAAGGGGCATATTTTTTAAATGCTACAGGGGTTGTGGAGGGGTTTAAACCCCTGTCAGTTATTTATTGCTTCTTGTGTAAGTCCTAGGGACATTTACACCATCTATTTATTTCTCCTGGTATCCACAGTCATTGGGACTGAAATGGTGGTAAAACCTAAAGTTTTGAGTTGTCAGCAGAACAGGAATAGCATTGAATTCTTTTAATGGGGACACATGTTCTTGTCACAAATGAGAATATTTATATATTTAGAAGCAGCCACAGCCTGTGTGGAGAAGCCTGCCCTCTGCCAGCATGTTGCAGCAAAGGATCCTTGATTTCTAAAGTCCAACAATCACTCTGATCATTTAGACCCCTATAGCTGTGCAATTTATAGGAACCATGACATTTTTTGATTGCATAGCTATAGGTCTGACTGTTTACACACAGAAGGATCCATCTCTACAGGATGCTGCAAAAGATAGGTTTTTCTACCCTGACTGTTTTCTAAAGAACCTAATTTATAATTAGGATTTTAGTAAATGAATAGGATTCTTGTGTGCATTAATTTCCTAATGATGGAGATCAAACAAAATCGCCAATATTCCTAAAAAAAATATTGAAAGAGAGCCAAAGCATACTGAATGCAATAAACACCAAGATGAAGGAAAGGTTAACATAACATAATATCCTACTTGGTGTGAGCACAACTATGGGGGATGAGACATTCCCCACCAATCATTTATGGTCATGTATTTAGTACCAACCATCCATAGCACAATTGATATATATGTAAATCTAATATATATATATTTCAAGCAGTACAAAACAGTGGAAATGTTCTCTCCCCAGTGCATTCAGGTCCATCCACTACTGGAAGTGGCAGTTACAAAAATGTTGTCCCTGTCTAGAGACTAACACTGAAGGCTGCTGCTAAAGGGAAGGGGAAATTGATCTTCTACCACTGTATACTAAAGCTAATGACAACTCCCCCTACCACAAAAAGTAAAGTAATAATGCCTACTTGGGATATACCATGCACTGGTTTACAACAAGCTACGGGTATTGTTTCTTGTAAAGCCATCCAAGAGGTAGATACAATGGTTTGGTCTCCATCCTATAGTGTCAAACTCAAAATTATAAATGCAAAAATAAAGGTGCTGAATAAAAGAAACTAGGACTAACTCAACATGTTTCGCTCAAATAAAGCACTTCATCAGGAGTAAATCATATTCTAACTATGCACCTATTTTTCAAGTAAGTGAACATGCCAAATGTGGAACCTTCATATTTGAGTATACATAGCAGGCAGTAGTGTTAGTATTGTTTTCTAAAGAAATTAATCTGCAAGACTTTGTGCACTTTTTTTATATAGCCGCAATGTATTTACTTGATTTAAACTGAAAGTCCAGTTGGGTTTTGGGTTCACAAAGACACTGTTGCCCAACACAGTCCAAATACTTGAGCTTACAAGTATCCCCAGATATTATTATAAATTGTTAGCAATTGTATCCCTTGAACCTTGCTCTATGGGTCTCAGTGTTAAGTATACACGCTGCTGCACACAATGTCTGCGAAACATGATTGCATGATACAAATGGTTTCCAAATATTGCATGGACACACGCAGGAGGCACTGTAAAAGTAGAGGTTCTGAGAGTTAAATGGATGAAGCTGCTGCCTATACTATAGATGCTGGAATCTTCGGGAAGGAGCACCGCAGTGCCAAAATTAAGAACAGATAGAACAGTGAGAGGGAGTACAAAGGAAATACATTCTTTTTTAATTCTCACATCCTGCTCACAGACAAGTTTTTTTTATTACATTACTGTAGTATCTTAATATTTTATAGATTAATAGCCAACATTTTATCCCTCCTATAAACACCTCTTTAACTTAAGTATATTATTCTTTTTACATAATTCTTTGTCTGTGCAATAGATAACATAATGTAACATAAGACATAACATAAGACAGCAAAGAGCTAAAGCAGCCTAAATGGGGCCTCTAAAAAGTTAACAATAGTGTTTTCCTTGTTTAAAAAAAAAAAAAGACTCAGATTCCTACAAAGGAAAGGCCTGGCCTGCCCTATTAATTAACAGCAACAACTTTTCCAAACACTGGAAGGGAGGAGGAATAACACAAATGTGACCTAAGTTCAAGAACAAACACAAATCTACTTTGATTCTTTGTGGATTGTGTGGTTTTATTTATTGGACATGCATAAATTTAGCAAAGAGGGAGACAGAGCACCATAATTTATCATGATTGCAGTTGTCCCAACACATTTCCCAGACAGCTGTCGAAAAGAGGCCAGTAATCAATTGATAACTTCAGCAACTTCAGGGTAGAAAGAAGCAGATGGAAACTTTGGTGGGAAGACTTCTTCTCTGCAATCTCCCCAAAATATGTCAGTGAGTAAAACAAGCTAAAGGAATATCATACTAAAGTATATAAAAGCCAAAGTTTTTCTTTGGTTTGAGATAGAATGTGGAGGATTAGAACCCCCATCAGGTTTCTATTGTCTGTGTCCCTGCTGGGAATATGCACCCTCTCTATTACTTCTGGTGGTCATTGTTGCCAAGGATGGAAATAAGGGGAAATCTAAAATATTTGGTTGTCATTGCAAGGTGAGGAGAAATATTCCAAAGGTAAAAAGAGAAGTATGGTATTTCTTTTTTTTTTTTTTTTAAATCATACTTACCTAGGTGGATGCAGCATCAGTCCAATGCTGCATCTGTCCGATGCTGCATCCTTTCCCTGATGGCTCTAAGTGTGAGAAAATGACTGCTGATCACTGAGTTCTCACAGCCGCTCTGAGCAGAGGGCGGTAACTGTCAGTCACCGCTGTCTTCTCTGCTCCCTCCCAAGTTCACTGCAGAGCTGGGCTGTGGAGGGGCAGGGAGCGGCTGGCTCAGGCTATCAGCAGATCGCTGAGAACTTGGCAACACAATATGGTTTTAATTAGTGTATTCCATTAAACTTACCAACAGCTACGGTATGTAATATAGAGGGCATCCTATTACTAAGATCTATTACACATTAGTTGCTAAAGCAATGTCCATTTATTTACCATATTGGACTGGTTAAGGTATTGGAAATATATTTTCATATACAACTTCACTTGGAGGTTCTCGTAAACCTACATAAAAAGAAGTGAAAGAAACATGCAAATTCTTTTTTTTTTCCAGAACTATTGCTTTAATCATCATCTTCTCCCAGTATCTGAGGAATATAGAAATGCCACTGATCTCCTATAGCAAAGGAAAATGGAAAATCAGCACATATCCTGTTTTCAAGCTATTCCCAGTAAGTCAAACAAAATAAATCTAACATTTAAAATAAAGTAAATAATGTGGAGCACATTTGTAGTAAATGATTTAAAAAAATCAACATCAAATAGATCCAATTACCAGTATAATTAAGAATACAGCGTGTAAACACAAAGGTATTTTTTATTTATATTTCACCTTTTAGGTAATATATTTGAAAGTATTACTAAATTAACAGAAAAATGAAGGATGCCTGTGTTCACTTCAGTTATGTAATGGCAGCAATGTTCGCCATGTGTAGATGGATCTGCTTCTTTGAAAATTAGGGGGTTTCTGTGATGTTGTGACCTGATTAATGTTTACTATAATTATTTATTAATGTGGAAATTTAGCCAGAAAATTAAGTCTTGCTAGATCACTTTAGGTTGGCCCCTTTTGCAGTTATAGCTATGTAAAACATTTAAAATAAGTGCCTATAATTTTTAAATGCGGTAATACACTGTCTCACCCTGCTCTGAACATGCTTAGTTGCTGTCCATTTTTAGGCACCATGCCGAATTTGTAGAGGGTGATCTGCTGACAGTCTAAAGAGGAACTAAACCTATCAATTTAACAGTTTCAAAAAACAGGAATGCCAGGAATGCTAACTGCCACATTTGCTCGTGTCCTTATGCAAACAGTCAAACCAACAAATGACTGGTGTTATAACAGATCATATGTGCAGCAGCATGGCAATTACAGAGCAGAGGGTTTAGTTTTGCTCAGAGGCTTTGGGATTAACAAAATGGCAGTCACCAGCAAGAAGAAACAGGGACAGCAAGGGAGGCAATTTATAGCACATTTTGATTTAGGTTGCATAATTATTAATGTGGAATGTATGTTCCTTGCTGCATAAATTATTATTTATCAATTGTTATGAGTAAAGTTCCACTTTAACTGCCACTCTAATAAAGAATAGTAAGTATAGCGGCAGTTCTGTATCCTGCCATAGTGTAAAAATATTTAATGACCAAAGGTTCGCATCCAGGCAGAATGAGGGGCTCCAAGAAACTTCAGGTAAAACCTGAGTCCTGGATCCTGGAGATTTCATAGAGACCTGGAAGGGATGAAATCTCCAATCCTGGGTCTGTGTTTTGAGAACCACCAGCACACTAATTGGGCAGGTGGGTGCTGGGCTTTTAGGAGAGACCTGACTAGGGTTCTGGGCTCCACCCCAGCAGACAGACGAGGTCGCTACTGGGAGTCAGGAGGGCTCCACCTAGGAGAGACAGTTGGGAGCCAGAGCAATAAGAGGCTGCAAGTTATGTGTACAGGGTTCTATATGAAGACAGTCTGTAGGAGGCAGGCAAAAGGGCCTAAAGGGTAAGGCCAGAGCAGCAGTGCTGCATGTATCAGCCTGGAGGCTAAATGTGTATTTCTTTGGATGGAAAATAAATGCTGAAAACCCCTGTGAGGGAAACCTGTTCGATCTCTAGAACTGTGTTGAACTTTCTTTTAATAAAAAAGGGTAAGAAAAGAATACAACCAGTGGTTATGTCCTTAACTTCCCTGGCGGTATTCCCGAGTGTAGCTCGGGGTAAAGTTTCAGTACCACAAACGGTAACCCCGAGCTACACTCGGGCTTACCATGCGGTGCTTCTCCGCGATCCCTCGATCACTTACCTTGTCCTGCGCTCCCGCGATGTCCCTCCTGCAGTGTCCCCGGCAATGTAATCCGGCGGATGCCGGCATCTGTCTTCTGGGTTCCGTCCCCTGCGAGCGTCGGGACGTACGGGGGACAGAACGGCAGGAAATTTGAAAATGACTAAAAGTGACATTCACTAAAATCACTAAAATCACATTATTTATTTATTTCATGTACTTATATAGTGCCGTCAATTTACGCAGCGCTTTACATATATATTTTGTACATTCACATCAGTCCCTAACCCTCAAGGGGTGTACAATCTAAGGTATAGTAAAACATTACTGTATCAGCCATTTCACATACATTTTGTCCCGAGTGCTTTGTCCTGTGCCCTGTCTGCATTTTTACTGTTCTTATTGCCTGGAAACTGAGAAACGTCCATGGCGTCCAAAAAGTGTCCCTTTAGGTCAAAAGCGGTTTTAGACCAGCTAGAGAACAGCGATAGTAAATCAGAACCACTTGCAGAATTGAGTGATAATGATTCGTGGGGAAATTTGTCATTAGACACTGAAAACAATTTTGTGACTTTGCTCAGTGATGTGCGAACTTGGCGCTATATTTCAAATTTCAGTGTTTTTGGTTTGATTATATTATTTAATTAAATTATTATTTTTTTATGATTATTTATTAAATTATAATTTTTTTTTATTGATTTCGTGTTTCAAGTTTTATCCTACCCGGGATGTTTACTAGACTCTTGTTCGGACAGATTTCAGTGAGTTATTCCTATAAAATTACAGGCCTACAATTAAAAAAATACATATTTCCATGCAAAAAAAGGTACCGCTTTGAGCACAGAAATATGGACATAATCATACCACTAGGGAGGTTAATGCTCTACCACTTGAAGCTAGTTCTCACGGTATACATATAACTGAATTTACATCATAATCCACAGTGCGCACTGCCAATCAGTAAAAAAATTTATTCTAGCTAATGGATCAGAGGGGAACATGGATTTCTTGAGTGAACTGTGTTATATGTATTTTTGAATACACCTCAATCCTTGTAGGAGTATTTACATGTACACAGCCAGATCTGAGAGTTCCTACACAAAAGAGGTAGTTCAATCTGCAATATACATTTATTGATAGAGGTACATAATATATACAAATTACACGCTAAGCAGTGTTTACAACACAATGTACAGTTTAAATCTCTTGACTTATACGATATTTACAATTTACCCACAAAACCATGTTTAAAATACAATGTACAATACAAGTGTGAAGTTAGTTTTACCTCTCAACTTCAGGTTTAGTCATCCTGCCTGCTGTGTGTGTCTCATCACCAAGACTCCTCCAGATGGGTGACCAGGCCTTATATCCCCCCCTTCTGTCTGTACTGTGGCTAATATAATGCTCACTAATTGGACACTGTACCTAGCCAATGTATATTGGGTGCAACCTGATTGGAAGTTCACAGAAGGCTGCTGTTTACCATTCATGTGAGATATGCTAAGGGACCAGAAGGCCAGAACTTGTAATACAAGTTTGACGTTAGAAAGTTTTGATGCTGCAAAACACTCAATGGTGTAAATACTGTATATTTCCATCTAACTAAAATATACTTGTAATGATAACATTATTTACATCCATTAATGGAGATTTCACATAAACTCATTATCTAACAAACTGGTTAAAGGATTTACTGGGTCACAAAGGGACGATTATATTGCCCTACAGACTGATAATCTGTAGTGAACATTTACTCTTCAGTCCAATGTAGGATGAATCTTGTATTGAGTTCTGGCAAAAATTTATTTACCTCAACTTTATCAGACTAGATTCCCAGATCCCCTGTTTTACAGGTGCAAAAGCGGAGCTTTATTATGGCTTTTTCATGCTTATTTTTAGCCTTTTGTTATCGCTTTGGCCACTTCAAATTTGTTACATACATAAGCATATTTTGCCACCTCCGGAGACCCATGGATTTGCCACAGGAGTGTGTCAGGTACAGTCAATAGGATATAACATCTGTGGCTATACCAAAAGTGTACACTGCAGGTTGATAGTAGTAGTGGTAAACTATTCATTCAGTCACTAGAAGGCCAAGGCATAGGCGAGAAGGATTAAAGAGGAGCTGGACATGTTTTTTGGCTTAGTAAGGATATGATTCCATGAAGAGAACATTATGCCATTCTCTGCTGAACAAATGCCTGGATGTATGCTATAACCTTATAGCTCACTGCTTTGGATTCATGACAAAACACAGCCTCCTCCTCTGCCTTAGCACAGAATTGGGTGCATTATGTATATACAGTATAAACAGTTCTAGTGAGAGACTACTGATGTGCACTTGATACTTCCTACATAGCATTGCTATCTTTCTGTTTGGTCATATAAGGTGATGCAATGTAAGGAAGTAGAAAGGGCGGAGAAAGTGAACACATCTCAAGAATGCAAACACAAGTTTCTATAAAGATTAGATATGTTATGGTGTAATAATACACTATTTTTGTTCTGTCACATGTATTTGCTGGCTTCTGTATGCAAAAGCTTTCTGTATTTCCAACGTGCCAAGAGGAATCCAACATCTTAATGTGTCACAATGTATATTATAATTGTTCCTTTAGTGCATAGCATTTATTCAGTTATTCAATAGAATTATTTCATAAGTTCATGACTATAAACATAGTAGTGATATCCAACCAAATGATATTCAAAGTTAAATTAGCATGTGGTTAATTGCAGGAATAGTTCTTTAATTAGTGGCCCTAAAAGTAAACTTTATTTGCTCTTCATGGTACCTGACTCCTAACCTTTCAATAATTATACCTTACACCAATCTCCAAGTTACCAAAAGTGCATATTGAATAAAACAGGAAAATTAGAACAATGCTGGAGCAGTTGCCTATGGAAACAAATGAGAATTCATGTTTAAAGGAGAAGTATAGCCAAAGCTTTTTTGGCTATACTTCTATGGATCACAGGAGTGCAGTTAGTTCTACACTCCTGTGACCTGTTTTTAGCAGACAGAGGGCTATAGAGTCACAGAGCTGGTCCAGGCTCTGAAAAGATCTGGACCATATGGCTGGGATCCACCCAGAACCCTGGACTGGCAGCTGGCTCAGCCTCTCAGTGATCCACCGAGAACCTGAGCTAGACCCTCCTGCCCCCTCCACAGCCCAGCACTCCAGTGAGCCCTGGAGAGGCACAGCAGAAAGCCTGAGATGGACAATCCCAGAGTGGAGGGGGAGAACTGAGGCATCGTGGTCTTTGATCATTTAGTTCTCTGTGCAGAGCTAGTGGGGGACAGATGCAACATTGAATTGATGCTGCATCCACCTTGGTGAGCATAACATTTTTTTTTTTTTTTTCAAAAGCTCATACTTTATTTTTTTTTTTTTCCATAAAAATACAAGTCTGATTGCTTGCTATGCATAAAAAAAAAAATCTGTTTTGGCTCCTATTTTTTAGCTTAGGTTTTCAAGAACCGGCCCCAGTGTGTTTACCTAAAAAGGTGACCATATTTTTGCACAAAAATGGTTCTCTCAAAGCAGTTGTAAAGTCACATCATAAAAACTATGGGGCTGATTTACTAAAACATGAGTGCAAAATCTGGTGCAGCTGTGCATAGAAACCAATCAGCTTCCAGTTTTTTTTCAAAGCTTAATTGAATAGGCTAAATTCAGAAGATTATTGGCTACCATGCATAGCTGCACCAGATTTTGCACTCTCCAGTTTTAGGAAATCAGCCCCAAAGTGATGCTTATAAACACTTTAATTTTCCTCTGGAAAATATTGCGACCACTATTATTTTATATCAAAATGTGCTGAGGGTATTAGCAAAGCGGTGTTTCTCCCACCTATGTCAACAGGTCAGGCCAGGAAGAAATGAATGAAAAAAAGAGTCGACAGTCGCTCAGGCTGAGGGGCAGTACTGGGCCTGATTAACTCATGTAGTGTGGCCCACCATCTTCCTCCTACAACATTGGTATGCATAGGGAAGAGGTTGCAATGTCTTATATTGCAAAAAGTTTATGCTCTGTTTTTTGAGGTATTGATGGGAATGCCAGTGCATATCAATGTATGACAATGCTTCTGTCCAAAACAATAAAATAAATAAAGGATAATGCAGATATATTGGTGTACCAAAAAGGTGAAGTGCTTTTGACATTACATTGAGACGTTTTAATTTCTGCCCCTACGTTCACTTTAAAGACACCCAGCTGTCTGCCTGGTGTATGATATAATAAAAGAAATATAACAAATATAACACGCTAATGTTGTTAGACTATTTCTGTTGCTGATTGAATGTTTTTCATTGATATGAAATGGAAAATATTACTAGATGGCACCAAGCATGATAGGAAATTCCAATGATATTTATTGTCATCTGTTGCCAAAACTGTATTTTCCATTTTAAATCTGTGAGACGCATTCGACCAACACAGGAGATAGCCTAAAAAAATTTTGAGCATTCACACAGAACAAATGTACATGCAATTTCCCTGGGCGAATCGCTATGCAAATTTGTAATAAATATGCCCCTAATGGTTTTTTTACACTTATTAAAAACAACACAACAGAATTTTCGAACGGTCATTCCTACAAGAGGGAAGAAACACAAGTCACACAAAAGCAGACAGCTGCTTCACCCTTGATAGCCATAGCCAGATGACCAGCATCTTAATGGAGAAAAGATTTAACACAGTAAAAATGTCTTACACTGCCTGGGTGTTCTTCAACACATTGTAAATTTTTGCACATACATTGTCAGACAACTCCTCTGAAACATCAAGGAATTCTTCTCAAATAAATCTCTCTTTCTGAACTAAAATAAGCACAGCCAATTTAATTGGCCAGTCTTTATATCATCCTTTTTGTGAACTTGCAAATAGAAAGATAAATAAACTTGTATCTATAGCTTGTGGTTAGTAGGTCAGACCCATATAAATCACTTTTTTTCCTACTTCTCTCACTTGACTGTATGCTAAATAAAAAGATAAGTCTAAGAAAAATTATCGTCTTTGACTTGTGAAGTAGATAAGGTATACTATACAATGAGCATAGCTTAAACACTATTTTATAGCAGATCTCTGCAGTGGAATTCCTTCAGGAAATTCTTCTGTATGTAATTATGTAAAGAGATGGTGCACAAAATGCAAGAAGGTGCAAGATACTGTAAGAATGCATAATTGTGTTAATGTTATTGGCAATTTAGAAAGTTACAATACTGACTTCATCAGGGGGACTGACAACTCATGGGGCCCCCAGGCAATAGGGGATCATGGGGCCCCTGTGTCCTTGCCCAAACTCAAAAAAAAAGCCTATGAAAAAAAAAAAAGTACCAGGAGCATCTCGTGGGGCCTCCTACTGACCCCGGGCCCTCGGGCAGTGCCCGAGTTTCCAAATGGTAAGTCTGCCCCTGGACTTCATCATTAGTAAATTTAAGGACTCAACAACAGATAAAAAAAAATCTCTGTGCCTGGAATTGATTCAATTCTACAAAATCCTAGTGCAATAGAGACATTTAGACAAGTCTAATATGCAAGATGTTTATCACATA